ATTGAGATAAAGAACAGAGTTTATAGGCATATTCTCTTGCACATGCACAAAGACATGCCTAAAGACTTTCTATGCCTCCACCCTCTTTAAAATATAAACATATTTACTTACCAATTAATTTTATCAGGAACAAACTCTGTTGTGTCTTGATAACCTCAAAAGGCATATAAGACAAGGCTACGAAAAAGAGTTGATGGTTAAAGCAGATGGTCATGTAGAGCATGATCCTTGTATTTCCCACTGCCTCCCTTACGCATTTGGTGAATGTATCAACAGTCACGAAAGATGGTATACCGACTGTGATGAATTGTTTAATTTCCTAAATTTTATGTATTAATCAGTACCTTCAGAATTTCATCCACAAATAGATGAATCAAAAGAACAATTATTTTATTACCTTTCTCATCAAACATGAAAGGTATACCTCAATGCTCAGTTTAAAGCAACACTGGCCGAGCTCGACTTTGATGGTGTGCTTTTTATTGCCGATTATAAAATGTGAGGCCAAAAGTTTTGCAGATCATGACCGTTAGCCAATCAAATCAAGAATCTGCCGTGAGAATATTATTGCGCTGGGGTGTTAAATGTACTATGTAAATCAAATTTATGTATAGTCCCGTATGAATGTTTGAATAGACAATTTTTTGTGTAACAATTACAATTATCTATAGTAAACCACTTGATCATTGTTAATAAAATGTAGGCGAATCTATTTGTCGCTGGCGGTTACAAAAATCTTCAAATTTTTAAATCAAAATAACTCAAAATTGTGTCTATGAAATCAACTTCCGTGGCTTAAAAAAAAATACTCCTTGCATAATTTTACTGCATGCTATAATCTTTCTAATCCTAAATACAATTATAAATAAAATCTGGATACTATCACCGCCTGCGACAAATAGGTTATTTCAACAAATTTAAATAAAAATTTAGTAAAAAATTTTTTTTAAAAAAACTCTCTTTTAGTTTAAAATATAGGTTCTGCTGAGCAATTGAGCAAAATTTTCAAAATAGTTAATGTGTAATTTACAGAGGAGATACAATTCGAAGTTTAAAAATCTTATATGAAACGATTATAAAAAATTATCAAATTTCAAATTGTATCTCCTCAATAATTTGCATATTAATTTCTTTAAAAATTTTACTCAATTGCTCTACAGAACCTATATTTTAGACTAAAAGAGCGCTTTTTTAAAAAAATGACATATACATAATAAATTTGTCAAAATTTGGGTTTTTTAATATAAATCATCATCCTCATTACACAAAAAATTCAATAGTAATTTTCACTATGAGACTATACATAATTTTGATTTACATAGTGCATTTAACATCCTATTGTTGCGCTATATGACCCGTGGGTCAACTAACTGGTAACCCGCGGGTTGACCCACGGGTGACCCGTGAGTTGACTACCCGGGTGGCTATAGTTTCAAACCAGGTCGCCTGCTCACCCGCGGGTGACCCGAGTAAGGCCTACTCGGGTCGGAACACTAGTTCTATGCATAAATCCATAGTTACAAACACAACTTTTTGAAAAATTCACAATACATATCTGATATCTAATTCAGAATTAGATTGCTACTGTATATTTTTAAATTCAAAGCTATTTAATTAAAAGTTAATTGTATAACAATGCTATTTTTTAAATATAATTACTATCACTGTATTAGTTTTAAAATAAATTATAGCTTAAACCTATACTTGGAGTTATCCTGGACTAGTAATAATAATATCTTGATCGAAGTTTCTGCTTATTCACATACGGATAAGGACACTGTATTATTCATTAATCCCATGATAGAGATGTTAATTGGTCCTTTGGGATCCTTCAAGGATTGATAGGATTTCGATCCTTAAATAAAACACAATACATTTTATAAGACTTAGCGTTAGAGTCTGAATTTAATTATTACAAAATTAATTTGATTGGATGAACTTATTTGATGATACAGGATCTAAATCATATAAGACCGAATCCAAGACCCAGGATCGGACCCGGACTTAGGGTGTTCAGAATTCTGCGGTGCATAATTCTGCTCACTCTAAAAATATTTTTTTGTATTGTCTCTATAAGATAAACGTGACTTTAATCATTTTTTAAAAACTAAATACAATACAAAAAGATATTTTTAGAGTGAGCAGAATCCCTACCCCGTGATCTTGATATAATGATCGGGATTATTTACATAATTGTTATTTTTTTCAAAACTATTTAATTAATTTCAAATTCATTTTTTAATACAGAATTAATTATATCATCAATTCATTCTGTGAAAAATAAAAAATGTCTAATTTAATTTTTCATGCAATAAAAATAACTTGAATTATCAATGTAATCTGTTATCTGTTTTTCTATTAAAATTATAAAAATTAGGCTAATAGATATCCGTATTTAATTTTTTTAAAAGTTTTTGATGCCTAACTCAGCTCAAGCATATCGTAAATATTTAGAGGCTCGAAAGCTATTTAAAGCAGAAGAAGCAAAATATCTGCTTGTTCTATTTGAACTATTGAAATCTGTTTCTGAAGAATCAGATTATAAAAATGCTTTTGTAATATATGATAAAATTAAAGATGAAGGTAATGACAATTTCAAATGTCAAGTCAAATTTAAAATGGGACTAAACTTGCTTGCTGGTGCTGGTTGTGAAGAAAATATTGCAAAGGGTGTAAGCTTCATTATTGAAGCCGAACGTCTTGGTTTTTATCCCGCAAAAAAATGGAACCAAGATTATGGAAAAAAAAATGATTATGGTGCAAGCGAGACAAAAAAACTATTACCAGTGCGAATTTAACGATGATGGAGATATCTCGTTATTACTTTGAAATATAGTTAAATTTTA